CTTACATCTCTTGTACATGTCTCATTGTGCACCATCCTGTTGGTACCACAATTGTCGTCTGTGATATATGTTCACTATTTTTTATGTTTCACGAAAAAAGAATGGTCTAATTACTCTATCTTTATAAATCCCACACCACACATTTGTTTTAAATGAGTACTGATCACATGTCCGAATAGTAAAATTAGGATTAACATCACTACACCAACGACAATTTTGAGAAATCACTGTCCTATTGGAACTGACCGTTGCTTCGTCGAAAAAAATAATATTTCTCTAAAAGGATCATTTTCTAACTCTCCTTGTATCAAAGAACTAAATTCGAATCACCGATCAAAATTGCCTGGCCTCAAGTTAAGTATAAATTTGTAAAGCCGAAATTTGTTCAATTTTAATATTTTTCAAATTGTCTTATTTAAATAATTTGGTAATGTTGTAGATCTTTTGCGGAGATCCTAAAAAATCTCCGCAAAAGATCAGATTTTGTTTCATTATTGCCGGAAAACGAAAACTCATTGACGTAGGTACTACGCTTGATTATTGATTTTTTAATTTTGGCCACCCTGTATATGCTATCGCAAATGTGATAAATTTAATATCATTTTTTCAAAAAGCAGAACTTTTTATAATGAATACCTTTTTTTTGTAAAATTGATAATAAAAAAATTACCCATTTTAGAAAATTTAAACGGGACACAGTGTATATCCTGCCGATGCAGAAACTCATCTGGAAGTAGCGTACGCGCGCCTAATTGCTACACCGCGCGCTAATCCGGCTGACTGTCCCATGCGGTGATGGCATTGCCTTGTTCTTATCTATGGGCATTGCATTGCCACGGCTGAGACAAATTTTCCAATTCCCTTATTCTAACATATCCATATGTTACGTCACGGTGCTCATATCCGCCAAATCTAAACGCCCTTATTGGTCAAAGGTTCTCCTACCCTGTTACAGATATTGTTTTCGGGAATATATACATTTATAGAAATCAGTCTACTATTAATTTCGTTGAAGTATAGAGCGTAATATATTCTCTTCTCTAAACGAAAATTAAATCTGTCTAGCGACTAGCGACTTATTAGTGTTGTATCCTTATTTGTATTTATAAGTATTAATATAGTAAAGTATTAGGAGTATTAATAGTATTTAGTATTAATAGTTAATAATATTAATTGTAAAAATTTTTTAGTTTTTAGTAATTAATAATAATAATGGATCCTGCAGATTTTATGCAGGGTCAAGTTAATTATTTTACTGTAGGTTCCTATTTAGGTTTGGGAGGCATTGAAACGCCCGAAAAGAAGGCAGCACAACATCGACAAGGAATAAAATTTTTAGAATATTTTCGAATAATTCCGAATAGACGTGATGAAGCTAATTGCCCAGATTGTGGCAGAATCCTTACAATGATAACCGATACGGCAAGGCATGGTTGGAGATACTGCTGTAATAACCATCCTACGAAGAAGAGATTTGGTCCACTGGAGAATACTTTCCTTGCGAGAACTCGTCTGAAGGGTGAGTTGACTGCAGATAAAATTGTCAGTATTGTATTTATGTGGCTTATACGAGAGCCACTTACTTATACGTGTTCAGGCAATTTTGTCTGTATCTCTAGAAACGGCTTGCTACTGGTACGGTTTCTGTAGGGATGTAGCTTGTGCTTGTGCCTATGCCTGGCATGACTATGTGCCTATAGGAGGTGCTGGAGACGTCGTTGAAGTGGATGAAACTCACCTTTTCAAACGGAAGTATAACGTTGGGAGAGTAAACACATGGAGACATATTTGGGTATTAGGTGGAATAAGCCGGACGACAAAGAAGAGATTTGCAGTTATAGTGGAAAGACGTGATGCCGAGACAATGATACCAATTCTGCAGCAATGTATAGATGAAGAAAGCTACATTTGCACGGATTGTTGGCGAGCATATGGGGAATGCGACGTAATTTTTAATGGACATGGAATTATTAATCATTCGGAAAATGTTATTAATCCACCCAGAGAAGAGGAACCAATATGGATGCCAGCTGATACGTTTAATCAGAATGTTTAGACACGTTATGGAATGGACCACCACCCGTGCCAGGACAGCAACCACTTAGAAACAAATACGCAGCACATAGAGAGAGCTTGGAGAGATTTAAAGGACTACATGAGATCAAGCAACAGCATAGAATATGCCAGTCAATATATTGGAGAATGGATGTACAGAAGAAATATTATGAATGAATATGGAACGGTGAAAGAACAACTTCGAAAATTTTTGGAAGACATCAAGCGAGCCTATCCCGGAATTGGAAAGAAGCCAATGAAGCACCGATATGAAGACATCCTGGATTGTGATTGCCACATATGCCAACCGTAAGTATTTCAGGTACACTTGTATGTGTACACTACTCAATTATTTGTAATAGATACATTTTCATTATTTTTTTTATAATTTGATTTGACATTTGGGATTATTGAAAAAACATTATTTATAGTTACATGTAAGAATTACAAATTGTTGGGTAGTCTCTCCTGTTGTTCATTACGTCATCGTCGTAGGAGAGTGGCAACGCCTTTTGAGAAACACTATGAGATTTGTGAGAATTGTAATGAATTGTATACAAGGTCCAATATTTTCAAATAAAATTTTTTTAAATTATTCGTTTCATGAAGGGCGGCTAAAATGAACATACATTTAAATTATGGATTAAAAAAAATTGTTGGATATTTTGTGCTGTATTGACTTTTATTCTCCTCTCTCTCTCTCTCTCTCCCCTCCAATAGATCCAGGTATTTTGAAAGCGTTCAGAGCCATAGGTACTCAGGAGAAATTTTTAATGGTAGGTAAAAAATTTTAAAGCGATTACAATAGTAATATCATCTAATACATAATTAAAAATTACTAGATTTTGTCATAAAAATAGCAGCGATATATTTAAAAAAATTTATCTGATGACCCTTCGAAGACGAAACGTCGGATTGCAAAAATGTTGACGCCATTGGATAGAGCGAAAAAAGTGGCAATGTAAATATGCAATTTATTTAAAATTCGTTTTCAAATAAAGTCAGAAAAAAAATAAAACGATTTTGCAAATTTTCGGATTTCGCGTCAACAGTAGACTTTGCAGTTAATACTTTGTATTGCTGAAATCTCAAATCCAGAGATAATTTATTATTTGTGCATTTGTAATTCGATTTAGATGTTTATAGCAATACTGTACAAAGAAAGTTTTGGGTCAAACAACGAGACAGTTACTTTTTAATTTTTTTCCGTAGAATTGAATGATGTAATCAGTTTTTGAATGGTTTTTAATTTAAACAAATTATCAACAATAACTGAAAAATTAATTGTTGCAAGTAATTTTTTCGCATTTGTGAGCATGTTTTTGAACTATTATTACAGTTTTTTTTATTTAACCAAAAATCCTGTTCTGAAAAAATTTTCTAGGTATTTTTCATAATTATTAATTCATAAAAATCATTTATCATTATTTCATAAAAATGGAATAAAAATCTGAAATTTGGGCTTCAGGGGTAACTGGAGACGTAGAACACGATGAACTAGACGAAACAGACGTATCTGCATGCTTTCGCCGCCCCCCGACGTGGTCGCCACCCCCGGGGGCGGCGACGGTGTAGCTGATATAGGCAATCGTTCATAGAATCATCGTTCACTATGCCCCCATACCAAATTTCAGATTTTTTCGTCGATTCTGAACAAAGTTAGGGACCAGACCCCGGAGCCGTAATCGTCAAAAAAAACGACAAAAGTCCAAACAATTTTTACCAAACTTTTTGGAATAAAAATCTGAAATTTGTTCTACAGGGGTAACTCGAGACGTAGAAAACGATGAGATGGACGAAACAGATGTATCTGCATGTTTTCGCCGCCCCCGATATGGTTGCCGCCCCCGGGGGCGGCGACGGTACAGCTGATATAGGCAATCGGTAGATTATCGTTCACTGTGCCCCCATACCAAATTTCAGATTTTTTCGTTAATTCTGAACAAAGTTACGGACCAGACCCCGGAGCCGTAATCATAAAAAAAACGACAAGTCCAAAAATTTTTTACCGTACTTTTTGGAATAAAAATCTGAAATTTGGGCTACAGGGGTAGCTGGAGACGTTGAACACGATGAGATCGATGAAACAGACGTATATGCATGTTTTCGCCGCCCCCGACGTGGTTGCCGCTCCCGGGGGCGGCGACGGTACAGCTGATATAGGCAATCGGTAGATCATCGTTAACTATGCCCCCATATCAAATTTCGTCGAATCTGAAAAAAGTTATGGCCCAGACCCCTGAGCCGTAATACAACCCCTCATCTCGTGTAGGCCTGGACAGCCTTCGTAGGTGGGCCCCATCCGTCGTCTACCCTGACCGCAAATGCGGCCGGTGTAGACGCTTTGTGGGACCTCCTTTTGTCCTGGCTGGGCCCCGCCGGCTAGGGCCCTTTCTTCTGGCGCTCTTCTTGCTTCGCCGGCTCGTCTGTGTCAAGATATTAGAAAGCAAAGTATGTACAAACCAGGGAGACTTCGTTCATTATAAGAAGTAAGAAAATTCAATTTTAATAAAGCTACAATTATTTAAAAAGTAACTTTGGATTATTTTTATTTTTACTAAGAATTTCCCTTGTATATAATTTTGTTTTAATTTTAAAAAATTTTTGCAATTGAGACGGCTTTCATACTATTACGCGAACGCCACTTTTTTAGCATTTTCAATGATTTATCAAGTAGCGACCTTGACTATGTCGATTTGACCAATTATCGTTGAGAACGCCACAAAAATGGCGTTTTCGCGTATACTGTGGAAACTGTCTGATGCTGAGATCCAAAGACGGTAAAATCGGGTATTTTCAACTTCTCACTTGTAGAAAATTACATTTTGCCTGTGGCAACACTGCCGAAATGTCAAACCGCAGCAAACTATAGTTAACCAGGTTAGCGGTTTTCTCGCCAAAAAACCCTTATTATTAGGTATTGATTTTAATTTTTAGGTGACATAATTTTGACATTCTAATCTAACTCTAACACAATTACCAATAACAGTAACATATTTTACAGGTTTTGTATTTAATTTATCTAATCTATATGATTAAACACATGCTTTATTAAAAAGTATGTCATCTGCAACAGTAAGTAGACATACAAAAATTAGGACAATAAACTTATTCAGAAATTTTAGATGCCGCTTTTGGATGATGACACTATAGCTTTTGGTGAAGATTTAGATACAGGCAGAAGTAAAGATTCTTTAACGTAAGTTATTTCAATTTTTAATTATTAAAACTATACCATGTAAAAATAACAGAATATTAAATTATTCAACACTATGTCTTATTCTTTGTCAATAATTTTTAAAATGAGTAGGTGAGAAATGTATTTGTCAAAGCTTTGAACGGTCTGGAATATTCTCATTAGTTTTAACAGATACGCTACCAGATCAGTAAAAATAAGGTTTAATGTCAACAAATTTTGACATTTATAAGCCATCAAAATCTAGGATGTATCGCTGTTGACATACTCTGGTGTACTTAATATATATTTTAGTACTATTATTTATTACTTTTATTACACTATTAAACAGTGCCTCTTTTTGTGGCATGTTGTCTTGGATCTAACGGTGACAACTGTACTACCCCCTAATCGTGAACAGCCTTAGTTCCCCTAAATTCCTAAAACTCTAGACAATGTCAAGAATTAGGTTCCATCAAAATTTAAATCTACTAGAATGTATGCTGGCCTTTATTCGTCACCCTCTCTCAAAACAAAGAACTTTTATTTATCTTGAAAACATGCATTTTCCTATTTATATTTGACATCAATTTTCTTGAGAGGCTAATAGGCATATCCAACATTTTAACAAAATTTGGGTTTACTGTCTACGTGTACATCGTTTCACTTTTCATGGAGTCGCCCTTATATCTGTCTTACTTTTAGATTTTAAAGTTTATTGAAAATATTCATACAAAAAATGCATGGTAAAAGAGAAAGCAAAATAATTCTCTTCATTTCAATTAACCAACTTAATTTCCTATGCATTTTTAAACCCTTTTATTATTTCTTTCATATTTCTTGCCTAGCAATTTCGCCACATCTGTCTAATTTAATTTCCTCTCATACAAAGCCCGCCCTTATAAATTTTCGTAATAGTGCTCCAGAAATCGAAATAATTATTTAGTAATTTAATGTTGTAATTTTGTCTAGGAGCAGATGGGTTCTTACACTAATCTTTCTTTAATGACTAAAAAATTTGTTTATATCAGAATAATCACTTATTATATCATGTTGCGTGTAATTATTTCATACTAAAATGTCAAAACGTTTTAATTTAAAATAATCGAGATATATGAAAAGTAAAACACAATGTAAATTTGTCCTTATTCTTAACTATCTTAAATTTCAAATATCTGCATTGTATACTAACCAGCGTTGCCAGACGTCCCGATTTTTAACCCAAAATTAAATGTTCTGCGGGGAACAGGCTCTGTCCCGCTTTTCCTGCTCTTGTTTTGTTTTTTTTTTTTTTGTAGGCATCAATTATTTTTTTATTAAGTAGATATTCAAAGAGTTTCAAAATCCCGCGTTGCCTGAAAAAAAATCTGGCAACACTGATACTAACATAGTTTAATAGTCGTATCTAACACCAAACCAACATGTTAGATATGCGGATAGGAGACAGAATGGCAGAATCGAAGACAGCACGCAATGTTCTTAAACAACAATGCAAAGTAATAAACTGTCAATCAAATTAAAATTGTTTCTGTTTTGAGAGTATTGATAGAGGGGACTATACTCAAGATATATGCCTGTACGCATAGTCAATCGCCAGCGACTCACCAGAGATTCGTCGTTCGCTGGTCGAGATTTTCAATGCAGTCATTCGCCAGCTAAGTCAAGCATGCGCATTAGTGAAACTTCTGGCGAAGCGCCGGAGATTGCCAGTAGCATCTCCAACATTTCTCCAGAAAACAAGTAACCTATTTTCATTGTGTTTTTGAGATTGTTCCAATAATGGATTGTGATTTTAACATGTATAATGCAAACAGAGATATTTCTGATTTAGATATAGTCACAACTATACAGGGTGATTCACAAACGGTGACCAAAAATGAAACCTAGTATTCTTTGGTGAATTTTAAGGGGAGTTCAAAGATCGTATAAAGTTTTTATTTAAGACTTGGATAAAAAGATACAGGGTGTTAAACTTAAAAAAATATTTTAAATTTTTTTAAATAATTTAAAAACTAGTAACTGAAATAATTTAAAATTGGGCACATGTATTTATGTAAACATTGTCCAAAATCTGAGGCTTTTTCCGAAAATTTAGATGCTCCAGTGCCGGAGATATAGGGTATCGGTGGCATATTTTTCTAAATTAAATAGTACGCCACTGCTTTACGGTCATCAATCATGATATTTTCGAATTCATCTTTCAATTTTCTACTAATTACTATTATGTTTATTGAAAAAGTCTGATTTTCGAATAAAATTCGGTTTAAAATTACATAGTAGATTGCAATAACAACTTTGAAATTCTGAGCAGTTCGAAAAAAGAATAAATATTGCTTTTCATCATATTCAAGTAACAATAAATTTCGAACAAATTACATTTTCATTACTAAAAAGATGTCGTGCCTGTGTTCGTCGAAATGGAGTACTTTTGAGCATTTACTCAAATAAAATCATTAAAATCATGACTAATGTTATTAATTTCTTTATTCGATTAAATAATCGAATGATTAGTGTTGATTTACTCGAAAATCAGGCTTTTTTCCTCAGGCCTCAGATTTTGGATAATATTTACATAAATACATGTGCCCAATTTCAAATTATTTTAGTTACTAGTTTTTATATTATTTAAAAAACTTTAAAATATTTTTTTAAGTTTAACACCCTGTATCTTTTTAACAAAGCGTCCTAGATAAAACCTTTATACGAAAGACTTCCCTTAAAACACCTTTAGATAATTATGCTTTGACAATAATTTATGTGATACAAACAACTATATACCAGAGATGCTCAAGTAATACATTTCAAAGCACCATGCCATGCTCAGGTTAGAACAGTACGTATTCGGTGTAAAATAGCATTGCGCATGCTTAAGCGCCTGTAGTTGAGACTATCACTCATCTGGCGATTCGCCAGAACGGAGATCGCCGGGCGAACGTCTA